TTACTAAGCCCTATGCGACTAGCACTAATACATCCTGGAATGGAATTGAAGCCACCTGGCCATTATACTAACTAAATAATATAAGTCTCACTACTAGCCAAACAACGTTAACTTGGCTTAATTTCTCTACATAGATGCTTATGTTGTCGATTTGGTTTTCTTGCCTCCATTTTTCTTCTATCTTGGAAATGAAGGACAAGGGCATCAAGGAAATGTGACACCAAGGCTAGATCAATTTCTTGGTGAGAAAAATAAAACCTTTGATCATTGGCTCTATTCATACGTTATAATTGCATCTTTTATCCCAAATGGAGATTATACATCACTTCATGTACAACAGTTCAGGAAATGGAGACCAATGAGAAAAAGAAAAAAAAAAGGTAAAAATGGGAAAAAATAGCATACTCTTAAAAGGCATAATAAATTATTATTAATAGGTACAGGGTGTGTATATAAAAATAATCTCTTACTTCGCCGCAAGTTTTAAATTTATAAATTTCTAAATACCCCATATATAACTATAAGTATACAGGTCATGTTTGAGTATAGAGTATTAAGAGTCGAATCTACAAAGAAGACGGACAATTATCAGCATTACTAAAGTTTTTCTATTATTTAAAATATCAACAAATTAAAACTAATAAACTTAAGCTACTAATGGGTAGAAAAATACACATGAAAGTTTTCTGTGTAATGAAATCCCTAGCTACTCATGTTAGTACTACTTCCTGACTAATTGAGTATCAAAACCTTGGTTAACTTATGGCGTAATTTCCTAATGCTCGTGATACCCACTTTCACGGGCGTACCAACTATATTTATAACTAATTCATACCTACTTTCGTGATTATGAAATGAACTATAAACTCATTTACTTCTATTAAATTATATGAAACAAGTCATCAATGCTACAAAGAGCAAGGGTGATTAAGTCTCTACAGAGGCGAAGAATATGGTTATGATACTATTTTTGGTACAGGCTTGGAAGTCAGTTAAAACAACTGAGTTTGAATTTCACGAAGTTTTGAAATGGTCCATCAAAGGCATTTTCTTTTGGCCAGACAGTCGAGAATGGAAGTGCATATGGAAAACTCAACACCAATAAAATCAAAATGGTCTTCTAGATAATTATGTTGCCGATTTGGTTTGCTTGCCTCCAATTTTTCTTCTATCTTGAAAAGGAAGGATAAGGAAATTCGACACCAAACGCTGAATTAATTTCTTGGTGAGAAATAAAGACCTTTGATCATGAGCTATGTTCATTTTGTTACTTGCGTAAATGTGGGAAAATGGAGAATATACATCTCTTGATTATAATCCAAAACGCAGATTATACATCTCTTTATGTTCAACGATCCAGGAAACTAGAGACCAAAAAAAAAAAGGGGAGGAAAACAACATACTCTTAAAAGACATAAATAAATCATGATTATAGAAGTTGAACAAGTATAACTACCATTACAAAAGTAAAGTTTTTCTTTTTTCTTTTAAATAAAAATAAAAAAGAAATGGTTGACAAGGTATAATATGAAGACATTAGATACGTATTGGTTGTATATTGTTGACGCGTATCCAAATGCATGTGGTTATGCATCTGTGTGGAAAATCCTATATTTTGGACATGTGAAAATTTATGGAGTTTATTTTCAGCTTCTCAATGAATAATTCTTGCATATTTGAACCTTTCAAGTTCCAACTATCAGTGATCACTTGTTTGCAGCATTTCAGTAAATCTTTCCTTGCTTAATAAGCAAACAAGACAAAAAAGAATGAAGGGGGGGGGGGGTGTCTAAGATGTTTATTTATGTGTTTGTATTGTTTAAAAATTTTCAACTTTTCAGGGGGTAAAAAAAAGGAACTTTCAGCGTTCTCAACCAAGCGGACTTTGTGAGCAGGTCAAGTTGGCGAATTAGCCTAAGTCCTACTTTGTTGTCCTATTCCTCAATGTTTGCTTTTCGGGCTCCCGTATAGTTTGACATAAAGTACCCAGTTTTACTTTGACTCCCCATCTCCTCCAGTCAGCCATTACCGCCCCACATCAGCCTCCTCCATCGCAACAGCCCAATCTATGATTGTGCGACGTCATTAATAAATTGTCAACAGTTTGTGTCCTGTTCTGTTGTCAGTCTTGTGCCACCCTTAACTCATAAGTTTATTCAGGTAGAAATTTTTTTTGGGATAATTCAATCTTGATTGCATCAAGAAGTAAAAAAGATCTCGATTGTACCTATTCATTTTCCTGTTACTTCTTGTTTTTTCTGGAGGAATTGATTTTGGTACAAAGGGGTACCTTATATTTCTGGTTGTTTTCAAATCTTGATCTTTTGTTATCCGTTGTAGTATAGGATAATATCAGAAACCTCCCATGAAGTTTCTCTTAATAACATTTAATATTTTTTAGATTTTCAAAATATCACTTACTTTCTTCCTCTTCTACAGAAGGGAAAGGTAAGGGGGTTGTTGAAAAAGGAGGAGAGAGAGGAGGGAGGCTGCCAAGGGAGATGGAGGGAAAAGAAGGAAGAGGAAGAAGCAGAAAAAGGAGGAAGGAAGAAAAGAGAGAAAGGGAAAAAGGGAGGACAGAGGAGGAGGGAGAGGCAGAGGTGGCGGTGGAGGAGGGATGGTGGGTGTTGGGTAGAAAAAGAAAGAGGTGATAGAATTTATTATATTTTTTAATTATATTTGTATTTTTTGTTAGGTATATTTGAAATTGTTTGTATTTGGAGTGTTTTTAGATTGTGTTACTTTAGATTTCAAAAATAAAAACCTATATTCTAAAAATTCTCTAATCAAAGCATAGACTATATTCAAAACTAGGAATTGTGAGACACTAGAGCTAACCAAATTACCTAATTAAATTACTTTCTTATTATTCTGACAATTGGGGGCACCTCCTTTGATGTTTGAAAAATTATAAATTTATTTTCTTTGATATTATGAAAAGACTATTTCTGGCCTTCACACAATCTACAAACCCTAAATGAAAATTCGGTTTAAAACATAATAAATGAAACTCTTTCACGCTAATACCTTTTTATCCGAAAGTTCTAAACTCGTCTCACACAGTACATGGAATTCTTGATCAGTTCAATAAAGAGCTAATCATCCACTACGGATGCATTTGTTTAAAGGAGTTGCTTTGCAAATTACTTTAGAAAGAAAAATGATGCTCAAGCAGCCGAAAAAGATGCTTCAAAGCACAGTTGGGATCCTCTGTGCCACTACTCGATGCCAAATTCAGTGTCAATCCCACTAATCACGTGATGGTAGAAGAAATTTGAATAAACAACATATGATAAATTAAATAAATAGAACATTTGACATAAATATAGAAGTAGCACTGAGGATCCCGTGTGAAGCATGGCTCCAATTTGTGTACCACGAATTACCTTGAAATTCTTTATCTAATTAAACGGGTAACGATGGCATTTAAATTCTTTTATCATTTAATTTTCTTTAGGAATTAAATCGTGACAATATAGGATATTCGTTAGTTTTTTTGTGCTTACATCATCAATTATTACAAAAATATAATTTTTAAGAAAGATTTATGTAATCTTTTAAACCTCAAAGAAGTGGCTGTAATTCTCAAAAACCCAAAGGAGAGGTTTCTTAAGTTATTCCTTCTTATTAACATCCATATAACTAGTGATTTTACTTGATTTTGTTCACATAATTTTAGAGGACCACCAACTTGGTCTCCTCCACCGATAAAATTAACCGAAATGATGAGTATGTAACATTCATCAACATCAAGTGGAGGAGCCACCATTTTCTAAACTGAAAGAAGTGAAAAACATGACCATCTCTTTCTAAACTGATATTTAATACAATTTGCTCATGTTAAAACACTCACAAATATATAAGGGGGAGACAAATCTACACCATAATAAAATATGTGTGAGAAAAGATAAATAAATCAATCACATATCATTAATCACACATAATAATAATAATACCCTCAACCTTTCACTTTTTAACTGACCATAATAATAAGACTCCTCATTTGTAGATTATATGTGTTGTTTGACAGCTATAAGAAATTACTTAATAAAATACTAATTTTTAAACAATAAAACTACCATAATTTGATTTAAATAAAACTATGAAAAACTCAATTTGACTAAAATACTGCTACACAGTAATATTGCAACTTTTTTTTTTTTTCTTAAAACTTGAACTTCATTTTGGTCCTTTCCAGAAAAATCAAGATAATTTTTTCCCTATTTATAATTTAGCACTTAGTTACAGTGCTAAACCGGGCATTATGAAGATGAATATATTTTATGCATCAATCATTACTCTATTGTTTTCAACTAGTTTTAAAGTCAATTGCATGGGCACTAAATTCTCCACCATTAATTAAATCTTAGTCGTCCTCCCATAAGTCTTCCCCAAAAGTCTTTACCTCTTATCTGTTATCACGGTCGATAAGGACAAATTATATCAGAAGATTCTAAGTTGTATAATGGTACTGTATATTTTCAAATGCATAAGTACGTGCACATTATTTAACGTTCTTTAGTGAACAAAATCCTCTGAATCTCAGTAATGATTTTGTAATTCTAATGAATAACTAGAAATGCGGAAACTAATAACAGATAAGAGGATTTTATTCGTTGTATCTAACACTGCCTTTGTTTTTAGCGTTTTTGTATTCATTGGCAGCTTGATTGGCAGTTTCTCGCCTCTGTTTTTGAGTTCTTGCTCATTGTAACGACCTTATTGCTAATTGCTAATAAAAGGGGTGTTTTAATAGAAAAATAAAAAGAAATCTTAAAAAAATTTCATAAATCTCTCTTTTGTTATTGGAGTAAAAAACTGATCTACTTGGCTGTGATGGCAAAGTCTCAAAATTTGATACAATTACACGATAGGGACATACTGACATCCATACACCAGTATCCTTTAATTTAATATAGATTTTCTGTGAAATTGTATAGCATTCCTTAATGTATATTTCACAATTTTGGAAGGAACTTTAAATGAACAATTTAGGCAAGTGGAGATTACATTTGTTTTGTATGTCGGATTCACTATTTGATAGAAGAGCTTCTCACAATTTGACTAGGTCTTCTAATTGATTACAAGAGAGAAAGAAACCGAGTGAGAGATAGAGAGAATCATTGGTGCCCAAAAGGAAGCCATAATTATTATGCAACAGGCTTACGTACAAGTGCATGTAACAGCCTTACGTACAAGAAAAATCACAAGCATTTATTTGTTACTGTTTCCAGTTTATTACAATACATATCACACGAAAAACCAAAAAATGAAGCGTATCCAATCTCATTTTTCAGAAGCATGTTGCAGATCGATTGTGGCTTTGGCGAAACACATCAGGGAAATGGAAGACGATACAGAGGTATGGCAACGAATTTCATCAATCCTTTCTCGCAGTCGTCGCCCTCTCCGCTAGCAAAGTAGTTAGGTCTGACCTGATTTAGCACGTAGGAGAAGCCATTTCCACTTCCTTGATTCAGACCTGCCAACCGGGTTGCGCCCCTAAAATCGCATGTCAAGAAGCTGTACAGGTTTGGCAGCAGGTACACGCTGTGAGGCCTCGAGATTTTGCTAGGAGGACGATACTTGAACACTGATTCACCAGCAAAACAACTAAGGTTAGACCAAACCAACGCTAATACTCATAAATTTTTCTAATAATCAAAATTAGTTAAAGCTGCTCTTTGGTAGATTCTGTGTTTTAACTTTTTTAGCCATTGAAAAAATCTAAAGTTTAGACGTAAAAGCAAACAAAAGCATTAAAAATTGATTATTAAAACTTAGAATATATAATCAAAGTAAGATAATCAACCGAGAACAAGCCTTAGAAAAGGTTTCCAGCAGATTAATAATATTAACCAGTTTGTTAGTAGATTTGGAATATCCAATCAAAAGTATATCCAATTTATCTTGCCTATGCTAGAATGAAAAAACAAGTATATATCAAAATTGAATCGAATCAGATTTTCTAATTCAACTGAGACGCCAGTCCAGCCTTTGTAGCTATAAAAATTTCGGACAATAAATACAAGGCTAACCTAGTGTGTCGCCGAGGAAAAAGGCACCGTGATCCTTTGCCCAATTATTGTAATTGTAGCCGTAGCGCCATCCCTGAGACCCTCCAACAACAACTGTTTCAGCTTGGCTAATTGCCAAGGTGGCTACTAAGGTTAGGAGGAGGACAAGCAATCCTTTGCCAAAGCTGACGGCCATCTCTATTGTTTGTAATCGAATCAAATGAAACTAGTAGGCAGATGGATGATATGAATTTGGGATGCTTTAGTTGGGTTTATATAGATGTTCCTGGTAACCTGATCCAACTCTTGTTGACTGGTTCTCAAGATTAAAAAAAAAAAAAAAAAAACCCAGCTGTTGACCGGAGGATAGAATGTGTAAGATCATCATTTTGCTGGTTTTCTTACGCAACGTTGAGAGAATTGCACAACAGAATTTCTAGATTTTCATGCCTTTGACCGCAGTATGGTCTACTTTAATTCGTCTGAATCTCATTAATGCCCTGAGGAGGCTTCAAGGTTGAAATTCTAGCAAATTAGGTTGCATAAGTTATAAGGATTGTGAAGGCCTAAAGAGTGGGCATAAACGTAATGTTGTTGGTTGACAAGGAAAATTCAAGAGCCAGGTGCATGATTTAGTTTTTCTCAAAGATGAAGAATATGCCTGTTTGGAAGAAAGATTATTTTAAAAAAATAATTTGGGAATGATGACATATTACGTTTTTGGGATGTGATATAAAAATGGTGAATAGAAAAAATAAAAAAGATTAAAAAAAGTGTTTATAATGTAATAAAAAAATATATAAAAAATGGCTATCCAATTTTGACTTAACGAGGAGCTCGGAGCCTCGGAAGTCAGTAAAAGCAACTGAATTTGTGTTGACAGGTACGTGAATTTCAACGAAGTTTTAAAACGCTCCATCGAAGTCGTTTTCTTTCTCATTAGTCAGACAATCGAGAAAGGGAGTGCATGCAGAAAACTTAATAACAAAAAAGTCAAAGTGGCTTTCTGTAAACCTATATTGACGATTTCATTAACTTGCCTCCAATTTTCTTCTATCTTGAAAAGGAAGGATAAAGGCATAGACGAAGGAAAATGTGACAGCAAGCCGCTAAATCAATTTCTCTGTGAGAAAAAAAGACCTTTGATGATGGGCTATGCGCTTCTCTCTTGCTTGCAAAATTAATGCAACAAAGACATGATGGCAGGGAAATAGTAATACCACTCTTAAAGGACATGATTATTAATGATCATAGAAGTTGATCAAGTCGACTACTGTTATGAAAAAGAAAATGGGTATGAGTTTCCATTTTCAAGTTTCTTTTTATATCTTGAATTAAGAAGTGAAAAAGAATTGGTTGAAGAGGTACAATATAAGAAGATTTTGAATAAACATTGGTCTTTTAATTGTTGATGCAGGACTCATGTGTGGTGAATCCTATACGTTTGGTTTGGACATGTTGTGAAATTTTTTCTCAAGAAATTACCGCCGACTGCTCAAATGAGAATATTTTGCCTATTTGAAGAAGAAGAAGTAGCCTATCTAGGATGTATATTTTTTCTACTTAAGACTTTTGAATATTTCCAAAAAAAAAAAAATGAGAATCTTTCAATGTTCTCAACCAAGCAGACTTTGCGATCAAGTAACCTTGGCTTCTTAGTTAGCCTAAAACCCGTTTTGTAATCCCATTTTGATATAAATTACCGATTTTTAGTTTGGGACACATATTTTACTTAAATGAGCAAATTACTTGGCTACCCACTAAACTTTTCGAATAATAGAGTTTGGTCATTCAGCTTTTAAGAGTATGCATTTACCAACTAAACTATCAAAAATATAAATTTTGAGCCATTTAGTTTATTTCTACCATCAAGTCTCCTAGATCCAAGGATTCGCACAACTCATGAGACATAGTCGAGGGGCAGTTTAGGAAGCACAAAATGCATCTACCCATTAAATTATTGTACGAGTGTTGGGTGTCAAACCAGCAAAAATAAAAATTCCTACTCTAATAATATGAATTCGAGTGTTGCGGTGAGTAAGGTCGTATCTACAGGGATTTGGTGATTTATTTCTTTGTGAAGATAATAAATAAAAAGGTGGATTATGAGAAATTAACTAAATAGCTCACTTGAATAAAAATAAAGACAATAGCACAAAATTAAATAAAACTAAACCAAGAAAAGGCAATACTCTAGTCAAAGGTCTTATTTCCACTTTGGTTCATTTAACTGATCATCGATGCGAAAGTAAAATCAATTATTCATAAATAAACTGGTTATGGTTGTCAACGAGTTTTGATAACTTGCCTCGCCTTACTGTTTCGATAACCACAACAAACTCTATGACTATTTCTTTTGCCAATTAAGCAGCCCTAAACAAACTATTAGGATTTAACCTATTGACAGCATTAATAATTAGAGAAACCATTAATTCTAACTAACAAACATACAAGCTCGGTTCATTTAAGCTGGATTATATATTCCTGTGATATAAATTCAAAAGTTTCTTCTACAATCAAATTATATTACCTGCTACAAATACTAAAACCATCAAACAGTTACGGATTTGATATTTTAGATAGCAATAGATTATTCTGACAATTAAATAGTGGTCAATTATTTAATCGTATAAAATAATCATAATCATAAATGAGCAGGAAATATTTAAATACTCATAAATAAATGAAACAAATAAATCAAATTAGATCTCACAATATTGTTGAATCAAAGTTTCCAATATCCTTCAACTAAAAAAGAAACTAGCCGCTCCTCATAATGGATTCCCAACCACAAGGAATACTAGGGTTTATTGGAGAGGAAAAGAGGAAAAGAAAATCGTCCCCATGAACGACGGCTCCATCCCTCTTCTTATACTCCTATAAGACTAGTCTAATGCCAAAGGACCAAAGATCACGTCTCCTAAAAGGAAAAGACTTCCTTTCCTAGTCTTATTTCTACTTAAACTAATAAGCTAATAAAAATTCAATAGGCTAATTAATTTCCAAATGGAATGCATCACTCGTAATTGATCAGAACTTCCAATTTGTGGCTAATGTAGCAACAAGGACACGGCAAGTGCAATCCCGTGGGTCCGTCTTTCACTTGGTCATATCGCGTGCCCATGTCTTATAGAGCGTAGTTTTCTGGAAATTTCATATTTAATGCACCTTTTATTCTCTTTTCACCACAAATTTCTAGAAACAACACCAAAAATCAAATATGAGTAAAATCTATTAATTAATACCATATTTTACAAAAATAAAGGGAAAATTATTCACAAATTATGTGCACAATTAGCCATCTCATAGCAAGTATGTACTTACCCACTAAACTATCGTACAAATATATATATATATATATATATATATTCATTAAACTATCGTGCGAATCCTAAGATATGACAAACTTAGCTGTGGAAATAAATAGAATAACACAAAATTTATTCTTTTGATTATTCAGTGGGTAAACACATATAATTAAAAATAAAATGGCTAAAACTCGACTATTTGAAAAGTTTAACGGGTGTCCAAGTAATTTGCTCTATTTAAATCAATACTGGCGAGTTAAAACATACAAAACCATCCAGCTCATTGGAATCCCCATCTCCTATAGTAAAGCCATTGCCACCCAAAATTAGTCTCCTCCACTCCAACAGCCCTATCCCATATTGTGCTAGGTAATTAATAATTTACATATTTTCTCTTGGAAAAATCAATTCATTGAAGTGTTGTACATTGATAAGTGACTAATTTACGTAATAATTGTAGGATATTTTATATTATTTTTAGTCACTTTGGATATATTATTGGAAGAAAATGATTCATTTTGGCTATAATTGGTGAAAAATGTTTTTAAGTGGTTAAATGAGGTTTTTATCACTTTTTACTTAGATTTTGTGTATTTTGACAGTTTTGACACATTTTCGTATTTCGGCTATAACTTGAGCTACAGTGATCGGATTAAGATGATTCTTGAACCAATTTGAAGATAAGAGATAGATCTACAACTTTGGTGAAGACATATAAATCCAGTTTGAAGGTTTTCCAGGTCAAAATGCCGAATTACAATAGCAAATTTCTACTGGTCGAAACTGGAACAGGGCAATGAGCAGGTAAGGGTATTTCGGTCATTTCTCAGCCTACACAGATCCAAATGAGGTGATTCTTGATGCATTGGAAAGCTAACTCAAAGGACTACAAGTTTTATGTTTTGGTCAAGAGCTAAATCAGCTTTTATCATCAAGAAAAGTTCAGTTGAAGTTGAGTCAAAATCAGAGTAGAGCTGGAAATTGAACCAGAAGTGACCAAATGGTCACTGTAGCAATCCGGCCGGAATTTGGCCGGATTTGTGGCCGGATTCCTGGCCGGATTGTGGTCAGAAAAGGTTGCTATGTACGCGTAAAACTCAATTTCACCTCCACCAACTCACATGGGATGCTATACATGTGAGAAACATTCCCAGCTGTAAAAGGGAGATGTAATCCTCATTTCTTGACCATATTTCATCATAAAATAGCCAAGATTGCAAGATTGAAGAGGATCCAATAATATAAAGAGGGAGAGGAGTAGATAGCAGAGAAGGGAGTTCATAGCAGAGTAAGAGATAGAGAGCTACGGGAGAAAGCTTGAAGCTGCAGAAATGTAGCTCTTTCATCTCCCTAGTGTTAGTTTAGCTTAGTATAGAGTAGTATAGTTCATCCATTCTTGTTTATTATTTAGATTAGGATGAAGATGGAGGATGAAGAAGGCAAGGAAGAAAGCTCATGTGACAAGGGTTGTATTCCTTCCAAACTCTTTATCTTTGGTATTTGATTCCAAGTTTAGTTAATATACAAGTTCTGGATTTTGTGTTCATTATGTGTTTCTAAAGTTTATACCTTGGGTTTGGTTGAACTTTCTATGATTGTTAGTGTTTATTATTTGGTTATTTGTTTGCTATGATTTAAGCAAGTTATTTAGCACTTTGGTTCTTTAAATCATGATTAATCTGGTACCATTGATTGTGATTATCTAAGGTGTTGTTTCTGCAATGAAAATTGAGATTTAACACTAGTTCAAGAGGTGCTAAACATAGGGAGTACACTCACGAAAGTAGAGGTGCACTTATGTGGTTTTAGTGATTCATTTCATGTAATTTCATTGAAGAAATGAACTTGTAACTAATTTCATAACCATGAAAATAGGTATGGATTAGTTATGAGTATAGTTGATTCACTACGAAAGTAGATTTCACATGTTTAAGGAAATTACACCATAACTAGCCTAGA